TCGCTCAATAATCGATGCGATAGGTGGGTCAGGACTTCTGTGCCCAACATGCAGCAGCATGTCGGGTGGTGAACACCGGGAAATCCGATTCGGGTTTGATGGGCCTGGTCGGTGCACCCAGTTCGGTTTCAAGTCCAACGCCGACAGTAAAGCCTAGCCTCATCATGCTTCTGACATGTTTGATTATTATCCACTAAAGTTGCTCGTGAAGTTATTGAGGTCTGTCGAACGCTTGCCAGGCCTGGGGGACGCGATACTATTAGGTTATAAGGGACGTGACGTCACTATCCTCGGATGTTTGAGATCGCGACGCGGTCCGAGTTACGCGGATTGCTCTTCTACTCCACATTTGAACCTTCCTCACATGATATGAGTAATACCATGCGGATTTTATTAGGGATTCAGTCTATCGAAATGCGTCCCGTCGAGCCAAATGAAAACTGTGGACGAGCCCCTTGCGTGGGAAGGAGTGGCCATTTCATGAGCCATGCATGACCTTACGGCGAGGAACTTTAGCTCATCATCATAGTCAAGCCAAGTCGAAGTCAGATAGTCTTACTGCATGTAGTTCTATATGCATCCCGTCGACCAGGCATGTGAACGAAGAGGTGGATGAGTATGAGTGCTGTGGAGTTCGAACCCACGCAGATCATGTCTAGTGGATCTTAAGTCCACCCCCTTAACCACTCGGGCAAACACTCTGATACTCAACACGTTCACGGAGTAATCTCAAATATTGATTCTAAAGAAGCAAATGACCAATGAGACGGAGTGAACGGATAAGAGGATGCAAAAAGGTTACCGAATTCGGCAACTGGGATGAGTAACCTAGTTGAGGTTATAACCGAGCCTGTACACAAAAGTCAATCGAAAGAGGCCTGTTTATTCGCTTATTGCTCCAAAGGCGTTCTCCTCGCACCGCACTCGTTCCCGAGCAAGGCAGATTGTCGGAACGGTCTAATATATCGCACCAGCGAGGTTATGTTCTCCGTAGCGTAACCTTGCTTGGGTGATCTCTGGTGAGTATCTTGTGTTTGACATCTACAACACTATGTCGGTGTAACTCGCTCGCGGACCTATAGTGGGCAAACTTACGAGCTATCGCTGATCTCACCATATTGACATCCAAGTTCTATCCGAAAAAAGAAGTCAACATAAATGCCCACATCAGGTCAAGTGTTTCCATCAATTCAAGAGCCAATAGCCTCTCTGAGGTTCTCGGGGCTTTAAGAATGTCAAGGTTCAAGTTCATGATCAGAAAGTGCCCACTAACAATCACTTACTCGACTTTCTTGAATTCGTCGATTTCACCACTCCTACTACAGCAACACAACTCTCGTTGAACAAACAGAAAAACATCAGTCGAGTCTCACAATCTGCATGAAAGCTTCTGGTGGAACTTTTATTCTTCCAATTTGCTTCAACTTCTTCTCGCGTTCTTTAGCTTCTTTTATCAACTTCATCTTCCTCGTCGGATCACCCGCAACGCTGTGATCCTTCGCGATCGCGCTCTTCTTTTGCTTGCCGATTTTCTCAGATACCAAAACTTTACCACCGACGCAACCTTGTAGATTGATTTCGAACGCATGTGGTGAAATATGTTCCTTAAGTTTTCTCAGCATCTTCCCTGCTACCTCCCGTATTGCGTCATGTCGACAAATAAAACTCAGAGCTTCAGCGGGATCGCCGTTGATTTTAATTTCCACTTTTCTCAGATCGGTATCACGAGTACCGCGATGTTCGTAAACAAACGATGCATATCCGTGCGAGAGTTGGAGAATCTTGTCAGCGAAATCAACTATGATTTCTGACAAGGGCAGCTCGAATTTGAACATGGCTCGTGTCGGATCGATGAGCTCATACGAGAGCTGCACGCCTCGGCGACTATAGCAAAGTTGAGTTATATCAGAG